TTTCCCCCCTGCTCATTTATGTGAATAATAATGAACCAACCTGAGGGGTGAAATGACTGAAATGATTTCTCTTCTCTCCCTGTTTCTCTTTGCAGAACTGAAGACTATATGAAGTTGTCCCTAGCCTCCTCCTAAAGGCATCCCTTGGCATCTTTAAAGGCTTGAGAGAAATACCAAAACCAACCAAACACACCCATAAGAGAAATCCATAAACCCTCAAAACTTGGGATCCCCTTTCGGTCTGAAGTTGAGTTCTTCAAAAACTCCTGTGGTGTCAAGTTTGAGGAGATCCTGTTGTGTGTCTCCAGGGACTGGGGCTGCGCCCAAGCAGTGACTTGAGTTGTGTTTGGGGGACTGGGATGTCCTCGGAGATGAACCTTCCTCCCTCTCCCCCAAACAGAACCCAAATTGGACACTAAATATGCAGCGAGTCTATTAGCTGTGTTCATTACCATGTATTAGGCCTGCCATGAAATCTGTGTGGTTCCTTTATTGGGGTGGGTGAACTGTAGCTCTTCTCCCAGACCAGCCTGGACCTTATACCAGACTATCCAGTTGTTTCTTCCTGGGGCCAAACTCCTCTTTATTGCTGGGGGGTGGGAACTGCCTATGATTTCAAATGTTGTACAACACTGCTTTATTCCGAGGGGTGGAGGGACAAAGTGGGGTCCAAGCGAGGGATGGCAGATGGTAGCTGGACCGACTCAAATCTTGCTTCTGTAGTTATTTTAGCAGAGAGCTGATTCTGTAGGTAGACAGAATGACTCGAGAAGTGACGCGGATTGATAGTTTAGCTGTTCTGTTGGCGGTGGAGGTTTAGGAGACCACACTTTGGCTGCTGTTAATATCTGGATTCTCACTTTTCCCTACTCTGGTTCCCAAGAGGAGAGGCCCAAGGAGGTAGCTATGGCATCGGGGGTTCCCTCTGGCTCAGGATGAGATTGTGGGGGTCCTGGAAGAGACACCCTCCCCATTCCTCTGCCTGCTTGCCGTTCCAGTGCCCTCTTCTCTTGCTAGCCCTGTGGCTTGTCCACTGGAGCCAGAGCTCAGCATTGCTCCTCAGCTCTGTCACATATAGAAGATGAATTCGCCTGGGCGTGTATACCTGCTTGAGACACAGCAGGTTTCAAATCAAACTCAGCTGGTTTGCGAGAGTGAGAAGAGGGCCGGAGTCCTCTAATGATGTTGTAGAAACGCCAGGCTGGGTGGGGATGTGTCCTTCAAAGTTCCTCTCTCACTGCAGGACAACTGCCTCTTGGCTAACGCTGCAAACATATCAGAAACCCAACAGGCTGCTGCTTTTTTTTCCCCCTCTTTTTAATTCCTATGCAGACAATACTTGAAACCTTGTACACAGTTGTCCTTTCCAGCGCCTGGGGTTGGCAAACCTCATAAAAGGGCTTACTTAAAGAACAGCAGGAGGCTTCAGCTTTAGAAGAGGCTGGGCTGCCCCTTCCCAGCCGACAACTGCAAGCATGTTCAGTGGTTTGCATATGAATTTAGGCACATCTGGACCCTCCGCTTCAACATCCCGCTGGTACAGCCGCTGTCCCCCCTCGGTGCTGGCTGGCTGACTGTGTCCCAAGCACCCAACTATGCAAAGAATGCCTTATATACATTGTGTTTGAGTTACACGGCAATATGTACATCGAGCAAAGTCTATAGTTGCGTCCAGATTTTCGCTAGTGGCAGCAAGTCAAACTATTTCTTCAACTCAAATGGCTGTCTGGGTATTTTTTACTTTTGTTTGTTTTGTTTGTTTGTTTTGTATCTGATGGTGGCTCTTATACAAAGGACTGTAATTCTAGTGGCTTGAATCTGTAAAAATTGCCTTTGTTTGGTCCAATAAACCTTTGAATAGTTTATTTGGTTTGTGCTTGTTCTCCCTGCCTCCAGCAGCTTGCAGCTTCTTCCTCAAGAGATTTGTCTTGAAAATCTGGATTTTAGGTTAGAGGTACATTCTGTCCTCCTATGTCTTTTACCCCATAAATGATTCCACTGGCTTCCTTAACAATAGAGTCAGACCAGTGGCGAAAGTCAGGGATTTTCCCTTATTGCTGCTGGAGCAACGCAGCGTCGCAGCAGGATCCTGGTCTGGTTTGGCTGCGGAGCGATTAGCAGCGTTCTCAAGTGCCGAGCTCTGCCCAGGAGTGCAGCTGCTGTGAACGTGGATGCCTAGCAGTTCCTGAAACGCCTGTCTCCTTTAACGTACCTATGGCTCACTGCCCCAAACCTCCAGTTAATCGTAACGTTCTTGGACTGAAATGTCTGAAAAGAGCCTAAGGGAGTTAAGTATGCAAATTCAGTTGCCTATCAAGAAGAATTAGGCTGCTTTGAAAACCTTTAATTAATCTACTTTGTCAGCAGTAAGTAAAATTCTGTTTGACCTCCTGAATCCAAGCAGTTTTGAGGACAGCGCTTACGAGGAGAATGATTTTACTTGTGAATGGGGTAGGTTTGATCTGAAATCATCAAAAAGAACCCCAATCTGGAGCAGTACAATGTTGTTTTACAAGGTCGCCTTTGACAGAAGCTCCTTTTTGAAATCAGTTTCATGTTTTTGATGCCTTACTCTTCCTTCCCAGGCTCTTTTCTCTCTTTATCTTTGTTTTGCTCTCTCTTTATCTTTGTTTTGCTCTCTCTTTATCTTTGTTTTGCTCTCTCTGTTGTAGATTATGTAGCACAGAGAAGTAACAGCAGTGACAGCTCTTTGTTATTTCTGTTTTTCAAATGCACAGTCATGATATTTGAACTTGAGGGGGGAGCCAAAATGCATTGATGTTGCACTTAACAAAACAGAATGAATATTGTCTGTGATCATGATTTTGGAGGTTTGGAGACAAGGAAACGGGCCTTTGGGGAGGTTTCAGCTGCGTTACTGTCTGTGAAATAACGAGCAAGGGATGCAGACCTGTGTGGAGCCCTCCCAGCTGGCATGCATTTCAGACACGTGAGGCAAAGCTGGGTATTGAATTTCTCCACACCAGACTGGAAACGTGCCCTCTGGTGCCCAGCGGTGATCTAGAATAAAATATTGATCCCTAACGACTGTGCTTCCCTTCCTCTCGTCTGGAAAGGGCAGTTGGATGCTATTCATGTGAGCACAAAAAATTACAGAAGAGACAGACAAATCCAGGCGCTTGACAGCCTGTGGCCAGAGCTTCCATAACCAAAAGATCCCACGTCGTTATCAGGATATGTTTGGCCTTAGGACAATTGCATTTTAATTGCAATAGAAAAGAATTGGCAAATGAGCTTTCTTTTGCCAGGATCTGCTTTTTCCCTGCCCTGCCTGCTGCAATGCTGCTGGGAGGACAGCCTCTGTTCCTGCTTCTGCTGGGGCTTAGTCCAGGAGCGGGGAAAATGGAGAGCCCCGCTCGGCAGCAGCTCTGCGCGCGACGGCTCCTCTGCTTCTTCCTGACTGTCTGCTTCCATTGATCTTGTTCGTGGTGTGGTTGCTTCTGATGTGTTGATGCTGTTCTCTCTTCTTTCGAGCAAAGACTGTGTCCTGGGTTGGCCTGTCAATAGGTATTTCTACCCCCCCTGTTACAGGAACAGCTAATAGCTTGTCCACACAGGACTTGCAGGAAGACCACCCCAGGTTAACTAACGGCATGCATTTAAATGGATTAATTACAGTGTATTAAATTCCTATGTGGAAAGCTGGCTGTGACGGGGATAGAGGACTCTTTACCAGGTGACAATGTGGAAGTAAAAGCCAGAGTCTGTCTTTCTAGCCCAGGGGAGGACTAAAGACGCTAAACAAGCAGGAGGAGCTGGGATTGTGGCAGATCTGTGCTCTGAGCTGCTGGGCGGTCGCTGAATTCTGGCCCCACAGTCACGCAGGGGCAAAACGAGCCTTGAAATAATAGAAACTCCTTCTCCCTTGTTACAGCCATAAAGCACCACAACCTCATTAGTTCTTTTAATCTCACACAGGAGAGTCAGGTATGAGGTGTGCTAGGCAGTACTGCAATCAGATGCCAATCAGGTAGGAGTCCGGCAGTGAGAACGAAGCAGCCCACAGCCAGCCCTGACTGGAGCCAAGGTGCACATTCATTTTGCCCTAAAAGAGGATTTTGTAGACATCAAAGTCAGTTGCATCAGTTCATGAGCTACTTGCGAACAAATGACGCTCCTGTGCTGTCCACCCCTCTGTTTCCCTGAGTGATGATCAGTAGATGTATGACCAATATAAGCCCTCCTGTAAAGCTTCCTCAAATAAAGCCCTGCGACAGACACCAATCTTTGTGCTGCGGGACATCCAACAATGGTTAACTGCTTCAGATTAGCGAAAAATCAGGATACCATCTGTTATGGGGAGAAGGGAGTTAATCAGCTACTATGGGGCTTTCTAGGGACGGAAATCTGAGCTAGGTGGTCCACCGGTCAGCCTCCGCCCACACAGCGACCACCTCGCTACTGGACTGGCTACACGAGTCCATCCCACCATTTGACATTGGCAGATGAACTCTCGAATCAAAGATTTCTATCGGTGGTCTTACCTTCCAGCAGTTGATTAAAGTCATGTCCACACTGGAAGGCAGTCTAGTCTTTAGTTCTAAGGGAGAATTACTTTGTATTTACATACTCTCATTACAGAATGAAAGGACACTGGGCTATTGAAGCTCAATCCAGTTTCGTTATGGAGTCTGCTAAACTGGGACATGGTCTTATGAAATTCCACATGTGGAGTTATCCTGAAACTCTGAGCATAGATAAGCCCTAAGAAACGCCAAAGCTGGTGTTAAAGCAGTCTGTTTTATCTCCATATTTGAAGAACTGCAGAGAGACATGCAGGATGACTGGATAGATAGGAAGGTGGAGGAAGGAGAACCAGAGGCTCTCTCTTTCTCGCCTCACATGGGCGGATTTCCCGCAGCCAGTAAGGCCTGTAAAATGACCTGCGTTTGGCTTCGTGTTTCATTTGACCATGGTGTTCTCGCTCAAAGTGCCTTCTGGGGACTGGCTATTCCTACTTCTCCTTTTCTTCTTGACAGGGTTCAGAGAGAGCAGCTGGCTGCCATCTTCAGGCTCATGAAGGAAAAAAGTGACACATTTGGAGAGATGTCTGAAGGAGACATGAAGGAGCAGCTTAGGCTGTATGATATATAACCTTGCAGCCAGTGGAGACTATGCCCAAAAGTCACCTTGGCCCTTATTATGCAGCACACTGGAGACTGTAGTGCTATAAACATGTTTTGGTAGTTATTTTGCAGTTCCAGTTTGGTTTGCAAATGCATATAGGCCTGTGATATATATTTCAAGAGACCTGTAATTTCTCACCCTTTCTATCATTTTTCCTGAAGAGTTATCATGATATTTTCATCTCGTACAGAGATTTTTACCTCTTTCTGGTTGGGTCATACATCTCAGTCATACAAAGTAGTTAAACTCGCAACTTTGTTCTGGCCATGCTTTATAAAAATGAACTTTCAAACCTAGTCTCTATCAGTTTGAAGAAAGCCAAAGATGATGGATGTAAAATGGCTGAAAATAACAGAATCATAGAATAACTCGGGTTGGAAGGGACCTAAGGAGGTCTGTAGTCCAGCCTCCTGCTCAAAGCAGCATCAGCTATGAGATCAAGCCACGTTACTCAGAGCTTTATCCTGTCAGGTCTTGAAAACCTCCAAGGATGGAGCCTGCACAACCTCAGAAAACAAATAGCCAAAGCCAAGGCATTAGTGCGCTGATTAGAGGTGAGCTGCCGTTCTCATCTCCTTGGAAGGAACGCTTCATCCTCCTTCACGCCGGCTTTTTGAAACAACTCCAAGTCGGTTCCGGCTGACCCCGTGGAGCCCATCTTCACGCCTGAGAAAACAGCAGCTAACTTCAGCCTGGAGACACAAACACCTCTTCGCCTCTTGACACTGGTAAAAGTAGTGCAGAAAGGTGGCTGGCATTTTTACAAGGATGGTTGTGTCCAATTCAGATCCTGTTCTCCTAGTATAAAAATGAGGTGGGAAATGATGTACTTAGGAAAGCCCTGTGAATTTATCAAGTATTTTGAACAGTTTTGCCCAGCCCTTGGTGGTTTGGCTAGAGTAAATCAATGAGCAGTCCTAATTTTACCTGTATGTCTTCTGGCGTACTTCTCTCACCCATGAAATCCTGTTAAATACTTTATTATCAGGAAGGATTTTCTCGGTTTTAATAACTGCTGACAAAGGGAGGCAACATTTTCTGACCCAGTTTTAGGGAATGATCTCTTAAAAGATTAGGTTTGCTTTATTTTGTGTAATTCTTTTGAGCCTGAGAAACCAAATATCCCATTATCTGGTCACTGTTTCCCACTACAGCGTATTCTATAACACTGTACTATTTGACTTTTAAGAATCATTTTATCTTCTAATTGTTTTCACTTAAGTGTAGGCATATTTATTATGGAATCAAGCTGGTTTTACTACCAAGTCATGACTTAATCTAAATTTAATGTCTGTAAATTACCTCTTCTTATTCAACATGAAGGAATTAAGTGGGAAAAGGGAGTCGCATGATGCGAAACATCATGCTAGCTTGCTGTGTCCCTAGGCCACAATTTCCTTTGTCAAGCTGTGCAAAGGGAGAAATGTAGAACATTTGTATGTGGGACGTCTCCCTAGTTCAAAACTGAAAGCAGCATCCTTTCCAAAGCTCCTCTTGAAAGCAAGCAAAGGAGAGTCAAGGTTTGGTTGATTTTTAGTCTTTTTCTTGTAGACTTTACAGTTTATTTCCAAAGTATTTTTATATTTCTTCGTTTACATTTGGGCCTTCTCTCAACAGGAACATTTCTGAAACAAAACAAAAAAAAAAAAAAGAAAAAAAAAATGCCTCAGACTCCTCCGCCTCACATTACGCCAGCAATCGTGGCGCTGAACAAGGGAGAGCAGCTGGCATTAAACCTGTCCTGCCCACACCTTCTCCAAGGGGCATCACCGGAACGTTGCGATGCTGTTGATGACAGGACAGTGGTAAAAGATCTGCCGTTTACTAGGCCCAAATTTAAGAAAGAAATTAAGCTAAATAAAGAAGCCTGTGCCCAAGACAGGAAGCAAAGGGATGTCTAGATGTAAAGCCCATGGATTTTAAGAGGCACGCTTCCTCGGCACGCGGTGCGAGGCCGCACACACCGGACGGGTCTGCGCGTGCGCTGCGGGCGGCCGCGGGCTGCCGCCGGGACCTGCAGCCGTGGGCCGCGGCCCGACTTGGCCGGCCAGCTTCCCAT